GCATCCTACCGGATGGTTACTACTTAATTGAATACCTCAGGGGTTGTAGGGCTTTGCCGGAAAACAAAAACTAAGGGAAAATAGGCCAAAATCGAAGGAAACTCAAGAGAGAGAGATAGAGAGAGAGAGAGAGAGATAGATAGATAGATAGATAGATAGATAGATAGATAGATAGAGAGAGAGAGAGAGAGAGAAGGGGAAGTGTGGAGAATGAATGAGGGTGGCTGGCAATTTATAGGACCAAAATCAGACATGCGCCTTGTACAAATGGAGTGTGTGTCGCGTACATAAGGCGATGTCTCCCCAGTCGATTTGTGCCACTTGTCAGCTTCTCTGTTGTCTGCGTTTTCACCTTTTAGAAGTGCACGTCGCACACCCAATGCACCGCGCGCGACACAATACGCAGATTTTGTAAATTTCGTAACTTCTTCATACAAGCTCCGTTTTTTAGGTTCTTTATGTCCCCGGAAAGCTCTCGACAAGATCTACAACTTTCCTTTAGACTCCATCGGCTAAAGATAATTTTTTTTATTTATATGATTAAATGATTTTGCTAAATCATAACTCTCTTGTACGGACTCTATATTTGAAATTCTTTTTATCAAAATTCATATCTTAAAGAGTACTATGATTTTCCTTTTGGCGAATCTAGCTAAAAGTCAACCATTATATTCGTAGATTTTTGTGTCACACATTCCTTGTGCGCAACTGACTTTTATATCTTATAAAAATCATATCTAATTCATACGGAGTCGGAATTCTACGAAATTTATATTTTCGGGATCGGGACGACGTGTAATTTATATATATATATATATATATATATATATATATATATATATATATATATATTGGTGCACTTATTTTTATGATTTACGGGCGATTCGACTGATTTCTCCTACTTTTCCTTAATACGAAACTTGTATTATATAGTTTGGAGCACGCACGAATACATATTATCCTATTCAAGGATTTAATTTTAATAATTATTACCTATTATCTGTAGCCCGAATTTGTGGGTGTTACATCAACCAACACCAGCGTCTACATAGTATCAACGACAACGTGATAGTTTTGTATAAAGTCCGATACTTTTGTATATTAGTCGGTTAGATACTTTGTAATTATAGATAGCTTTGTATTTATATAATAGATATATGTTCCGTAATCTTAGTGATTAGGATCAGACTATACGTAGATTAGATTACATCCCTAAAATAAAGGGATTTCTATTTATTGTAATCGTATATAGTCATGCATTAGGGCTAAACCCTAATGCATTTGTGTGATCGTCTTTGTGAAAAAACATCTTTGTGATAATCGTTGTTCTTCTGTTCTTTTGTTTTTCTATCATCTTTCTTTGTGTTTATACTTGTTTGTATCCGATCAAGCGAACCATCAGAGGTGGTTCGAGATGGCATTCTATTGATAAGATAAACCGCAGTGTAGAACGTAAAATGCTAGAAAGTGTTTGGAACACCTGATTAAGCCATTAGGGTCACGCCAGTTTTGACAACATGTCAATGACGTCTCTTAACCAAGCTGTTTTGTTTACTTGTATGAGGACTTGAAAGATGATGAATGATGCCATGAGAGGTAAAGAATTGAGTAAGTATGCGAAACTCACCCCCAATCAGTTTGGACCGATTTAAGCTTGGTAGAAAATCGGCGTTCACTAATAGAAACAAATTATTTAAAAACCTCAAAAACACCAGATTTGTGTATAAAAGGAAAGATCCACATAAAACGAGAAAAGTCATCAACACATAGTAAAAAATAATTATGACCATCAGATGAGGTCACAGGTGTCGGACCCCAAACATCACAAACAATAAGGTCTAAAATATGATTGCTATTAAAATTAGAAGTAGCTAAGTGAAGTTTAGAAGATTCCTAATGTGACAAGATTTACAAAAAGTATCAAAAACTTTATTGGAAATAGGAAGGCAATACTTAGAACACATAAAATTAAAAATTTGTGAATAAGGGTCCCCCATTTGTTGATGCCAGATGTCAGAGGAGGCTCTGAAAGTGGTGAGCGCAACTTTAGGAAGACTCCGAAGATACGGAAAATGGATGGAGTAGAGCCCATTGTCACGTGGACCCATGAAGAGTATTATCCTTCACAACACAAAAAGAAGAATAAAATTAAAAAAAAAACATCATTGTCAAGACAAAAATTTTAAACGGAAAGAAAATTCTTTTTTATGTCAGGGACATGAAGAATATTGGATAAGGTAAAAGTTTTAGAAGGAGAATAGAAACGAGTAGACCTAATATGTAAAATAGGTAGACCCATACCATTGCCAACGTGAAGAGAGTCCTCACCAAAGTAAGGTGTATAATTGTCAAGAGAAGAAACATCATGAGAAACATGATTGCTCGAACCGGTAGTGGGAAGCCACGTGGTGGTTTGAGAGCGATTTTCAGCATAGTTGGTTGTTGGTTGTTGGCGAGGGCAGGTGGTAGTGAGATCATGGTTGCGGCGTTGGGAGGGAATATGCCTGATGCCACACCGGTTACATGTACCATAGACCGTGTTTTGCGTAGAGGCCCAAGGGAATTGGTTGGTATTGGTTCCTCCTGATGGTTGAGTATAGATGCCTTGGCCACGAAGGTTGTTTGAAGTAAGAACTCGAGAATATGGAGGGCGGTTGGTGTAAAAATCTTGAGGCGATGAGGCGGGGGCTGGGTTAAGTTGGAGACCCAACTAGGAAAGAAGTTGTTGGAGAGCTTGTAAAACATCAGGAGGTGTAGTAGTAGTAGTAGTAGTGGAGCAGGTGGAAGAGGTGGTAGCGAAGGCCTGTACAGGTGTAACGGATAAACTTTTCTTGACCATAAATACATGGTCAGCGAGAATGTCATTGAGCTCTTAGAAGAAGGTGGGGGCTTGTCGAGCCATGAGGGTGGACTTTAGTCTATTATATTCCTCGCGAAGACCAGAGATCACAAGCATGACAAGATATTTCTCTTTAACAGGTTCACTAATGTTGGCTAGGGTAGGAGAGTATTCTTGATCACGTAGGAGGTATGTAGAGGCCGTTTCATCGGGTTTGATCTTAAGTTTGAGAAGTTGTGTTTTAAAGGTATACTCTCTAGATGAAGATTGAGGAGCATAGGCTCGTTGTAGAGGGAGCCAAATGTCTTTGGTTGTCGTCCCTTGTGCATAAGGGTAGGATGCTTCAGAGATGGTGGATAGTAGAAGCATACGCACATGAGCATTATTAGCAAGCCATGCAATGTACGAGGGTTTTGGTGTAGGGTCAGCAGATGTGGCTTTGTTAGCCGCTGGAAGGGTTTGAGTGGGACAGGGAATGGTGTCATGGACATACCCAAAAAAGATTGTTGGTAACAAGGAACGGTTGAATCAAAGTTTTCCAAAAGCCATAATTTGTAGGAGATAAAGTAAAAGAGAACTTATGAGAATTGTGTGATGTCTTCTCTTTTGTGGAGAAGGTAGTAATGGTCATCATCAGTTGATCAGTTGTGAAGATCGATCTTTGTCCTATGTGAATTGGATTTGATCAGTAGCTAGCAGCTAGGGTTGTAACCCTAAGGAGGACCGGAAATAAGATTTGATACCAAGATAAACTTGGTAAATATGATGTATTAATTGATTGTTTAATTCATTACACAAAAGATATATAAACTAAATATAATTACAGTTTCAACCCTATACTATTAATATAGGTCTAATATAATCATATTTATGTTGTAACATTACTTGTGTTAAGAGTGAAAAAAATATAAAGCGAAAAATAAAGGAGGATTAATATAAAGTTTATGACAAAGTGAAAAAATAATTAATATTAAAGAATAAAACCTTGATTGGATAATACTATTTCCGTTTTTACTTTTCACATCAAATATGAATCACGTACATTTTGTGTTAAAAATCGTTAAAACTTTGTAAAAGTATAATTACAAGCTATGATAATAAATCAATAACTTGAACCATTTGTCCTTTTTTTAATTAGAAAACTATACCACAATTATAGGGTACAAGAAGCATGCCAAGATTTGAAATGTTTTGCCTAGATCTAGCATACCTAAAAATCTAGGAATATTTAGAGACAAAATTGATACATTTCCATGAGAAATTGACCTGGAAGATTCTTACTTCACACTCACTCATATCTACATGTGATTTCTTCCCACTTTATTATTTGATTTTATCTATTTTTGTTATTTCCTTTTCTTCCCATGGCATAAGATTTTAAATTGATATAGAAAGAAAATGAGCGAAAAGAGGTAAAAAAAAAAAAAAAAAAAAGGCACCTTTGATAAATGCCATTACAAGGAGTTGCTTTTGGCATTATTATGTGTTTCATTTTAAGCATATAGGTATAGTTTTTATCATTCATATTGTAAAAAACAAAGATGGGCAAAGAAAATAAAACAAATTAAAAATATTTACGAAAGCACCTTTGCCACATGCTATATATCACAAGGGGTTGCGTTTTTTCCGCATTAGGTGTTCTAATTATTCAACCAAACTGGAGAAAGGTGATCATCATTAATCATGCAAAGTTTCAAGGACATTTATCAAACATACCGCGTTTGTTTATGTAGCATATTATGCGTAATCATTCTATAATTTGATGGATAATTGATGAAAATTCAAGTAAACATGCGGGATCATCTATAATCTATTTGTAAATACGTATTATAGTTTTTTGTTCGATTAAAGTATTAATTAACTAATCAAGAAAATTTAATTGGTAGCTACTCCTAGCTAATTAATAATTTAATATGTAAGCCTGGTTCTTTTGTGCTCTGCTCTAGCTTCTTGTTAGGGTAATTGGTTTTTTAATGAATTGTTGTTGTTCAAAAAGAAATGGTAGCTACTCCCCTTGAAGCCATGCAGATAAAAAAATGACCATAAATTAACTTCATTAATTTACAAAAATTAAAAAAAAAAATACAATATAACTTCAATTTGATATATAAAAAATCTGGTTTTTAATTGTAAATATTTTTTGGCATAGAAACTTGTCTAACTATATATAGTTCCACAAGAAATGGTCTTCTGGCCAGAATTCACTGTTACCGGTAAATTTCTCCGGCAATGTATAGAGAATCCGGTTCCCGAGATCCATAAAGAGATCCGGCAAATCAAGAAACGGGTCATCCGTTATGTTACTTTGAGGTGACGATGAAGAACATGTACATGGAAGCTCAAGCTGGCTCGGCTCCGATTCGTCTTTACTGGAATTAAGGTTTCGAAGGACTAAAGTGGCGGCTTTGAGTGCTGCGGCTTGGACGTCTCTAGGGGAATTGGAAGCCGGCTTGGGAAACTGGTTAGCGAGTTCGGGGAAGTTGAGGATAGCCGAGTGACCTTTGATTGCAATTGCGGCTACATCATGGGCTCCAGCTGCCATCTCTGGGGTGTCAAATGTCCCAAGCCATATTCTTGATTTTTTCTTTGGCTCTCGGATTTCCGACACCCATTTGCCCCAGCTCCGCCGTCGGACGCCGCGGTAGACGGGGTGTTCTCCTTGATCAATATTTTCGGTTTTCTTGGACTTTTTGGTAACTTCGTCGCTGATTTCTCCGTCTTTGGAGCGTTTCGTGGTGGTGGTGGAAGTGGAGGAGGAAGAAGAGGAGGTGGTGGCGTGATTCATGATATTATAGAATGGCCGGTGGTAGTAGGTAAGGATAGGAGGGCATGTGGAGAAGTAAGCTTAGAGGTCCTTGTACAGGAATATGAGCAAGTGTCGCTCTTATATAATCCTCTCTTTCTCTTTTTTTCTTTTAATTTCTTCCTCTTTTTAATTTCATTCTTATTCTCATAAATTTTTAATAGATGTTACTAACAAATTACTTAAGATAATAATTTATCTTGTCCATAATTTTCATATTAACAGTTTAATTCTTTTTACAAAAAACATATGATCTAATTACTTATTTTTTAAAAACACTATATAGACTTCATTACTACAGATTAGGGATGAGCAAAAGGACCGAACCGGCCCGAACCGGACCCGACCCGGGAACCGGCTTCGGCCAAAATCAAGAACCGAACCGGCCCGACGGTTCTACCGGTTCCCGGTTCCTACCGGTTCCCGGTTCCTACCGGTTCTTGTCGTGTCTTCAAATGTTGGAACCGGTCCTCGAAAAATAGCATCATACGGTTCCGGTTTTTGCCGGTTCTACCGGTTCCGGTTATATCGGTTCCGGTTCCCACCGGTTCCCGGTTCCAAAAATCCACAAAAATAACGTCCCGGTCCCGGTCCGACCGGTTCCATCGGGTTCCGGTTCCGGTTCCCCGGTCCATATGCTCATCCCTACTACAGATAACAGCAGTTAAGCAACACAATAATTTTTTTCATACATAATAAATTGTGTTTTAAAGTGTTATTGTATAACTTTATAAAACATAACTTGTTGTGTATAAAAAAATCCATATGTTTTCCATAAACAAAAACATAAATGGACTAAAACCAAAATGAATTAGATAGGTTGCTAAGTGACGCAATTTTTTTATAAACACTCGTGTAATTAATTAACATTTTTGTCAAAGATAATATAAAAGTTATGACTATAAATCTCATATGGGTTATGTTTAATTATAGGAAATAAGTAGGTGGATTGAACAAGTTGATTATTGTTTGAAAGCTAGTAATTTTTTAACATGAATAAGAGGACTTTTTTTTCTGTATATCTTTAATATATTATATATAATCATAAAACTATTATTAAAATTTTAACTTAATTTTCTTAAATAAGATAATTCATCACGTGATAAACACTTGTATAGATTTTAAGCCGCTTTAAAACCGTCTAAGAAGTTTTGTCCGCTATTTATTGAATTTTAACCGTTAATTCTGTAATTTCTCCGGTTCCTCAACTTTGATTGATGATTGTGTATATTGTTTTGTACATGGTTCGCTTACTGAAAAATGGTTTTAATTAAAGAAGGCCTATTTTCGAAATTGGATACTTTAAAATGAATATATATAGGGGTGGAATTGGTACGGTACTGGGTATTTTTTTCACAAACCGTGTACCGTACCAATTATAATTGATATGTAGTTTTAGTTACCACTACCGTACCAAGTATAGTTGCTACCAACTTAATTGGCTACCAGTAAGTTCGGTTGGTACACGTTGGTAATGGTATAAACCAACATGTATGGGTGTTTTACGAATCAAGATTTATGTGTTATTATGCACTTAAAAGATACATGTGGGTTTTGTAAATAAGAGTTTTCTGAATGGTTGGATTGGAAATTCGATACAAAAAGATTTTATAATTTTTTACCATGAGTTTAAACTAAACAATAGAGTAAATGGGATATGTTAATATGAGTTTAAAGTTTAAAAGCTACTAAACTGTAAATGCTAATATCAAAACACTTTAACTCTTAACCGTCAAAGACATTTAAAGTTAAAATATACAATATTTTGTATATATAAAAAATAACTAGGCATTTAAAACCTTGTAACACTACCGTACCATTATTAACTAATTGGTATGGTACTACCAACCAAATATGTTGACTACCAACCATATTGGCTACCAATATAAATTAGTGCGGTTGGTACACATGTTGGTTGGTTTTCCATGGTACATATTTGCCACCCCTAAATATAAGAGAGAGAGAGAGAGAGAGAGAGAGAGAGAGAGAGAGGTTTAGGTTTTATGGAAAACTAAAAACCCTAAAAATCATAAAATGCATAAAAAATACTTAGAGATCACAAAACTTTTTTTTTGAATTTTTTTTATAAATAATCGCAGTTTTTTCTTAAAATTCGCTAAAAAAAACAAGAAACTCAATTTTTCTTTTTTGTAAAAAAAAATTTTGTTTTTTTTTCAAAAAAATTTTCAACGAATTTGTATAGAAAGCTGCGATTTTTTCAAAAAAAAATTTAAAAAAAAGTTTTGTGATTTGTAAGTATTTTTTATGCATTTTTATGATCTTTAGGTTTTTTTTAGAGTTTTTTTGTTTTTCAAATAACTCTTCCCTATATATATATTATATATATATCTATATATATATATCTATATAATATATATATATATTATATATATACTTTTGTTAAAGAATATTATAATCCTCGATTTAAGAACAATTAGGCCTAAACATTAGTTTATGCCCAAAGAAATGGAAATGTATGGGAATAAAGTGATAAGAAAAGAAAAAGGCTGAAAGCTTACATAAATGACAAATTCGGGTAACTCCTTTCTCTGCACAAAAATTCTTAAATAAGAAGAACTAGTGCAATAACTATTTGTACGTAGTAGAGTAAAATTTGTGCCAATTTCTTAGAATTTTATATATTTCCCTGGAAAAGGACTAACCCTATCCTCAAAATCCAAGTGGTTATTGTGGCTTATTGCTCAAGACTCAACTTAACAAAAATCAAAACTTTCTTTTCTAAAGACTTGTTTAGTTGATTTCTTTATAGATATTTTAAATTCCTTAACCCTCAATTACACATTTCGGTTTTATATGATAAATCATCAGAAATATCTCGATAGGTAACTTTACAACCTTTGATTATTTTTTACACTAAAATTATTGTAATATTGTATTATAATATTCCGGTTACACTATAAATGTTTCATAATCTGCGTGTATTTCAAAATTCCAAAAACAAATAAAAAGGATGTGTTTAAAATCAGCAATGTAAATCAATGTGTCTCTAATTATGTGAACGGCAAATTTTATAAAAGTTTGTTACTCTTTTCGATTAATCATCTCATAGATTTAACTATAAAATTTTACATTAAGGGCAGAGGAGTGAAAGCGGGAGCAAGCTCAAGATTGTTAATTGTGGTAAAAGCTTTCTTCATTAGGGTATATATATATATATATATATATATATATATATATATATATATATATATATATATATATATATATATATATACAGAAATTCATAACTTTTTATCATTTTTCCAATGATATTAAATTCGATAAAAAAAATTCCGTCAAATTCACAATGTGAATATTTGAAGATTCACAATGTGAATCTAAATTAATACGGTGAATCCGAAAAATATATTTAACATTCACAATGTTAAGTTATGAATTTTGATATTTTTGGTTTATTTTTTCGATAAAGAATAAACTCTACAACTTGAAAAAAATATTTGGTTCCTTGAAAAACCAATAATTATGGTTCTCTATTGAACTTTTCTATATATATATATATATATATATATAGGGAAGGGTTATTTGGAAAACAAAAAACCCTAAATATCATAAAAATGCATAAAAAAATACTTAGAGATCACAAAACTTTTTTTTTAAATTTTTTGATAGAAAAATCGCATGTTTTTTAATAAAATAGCTGAAGAAAAAAATCAATTTTTTTTTAAATTGGTTTTTTTTAAAATTTTTCTTCAGCAAATTTAAAGTAAAAGCTGCGATTTTTTCATAAAAAAATTAAAAAAAAATGTTTTGTGATCTCTAAGTATTTTTTTTATGCATTTTTTTGATTTTTAAGGTTTTTTGTTTTCCATAGAACCTAAGCCTATATATATATATATATATATATATATATATATATATATTATATATATATATATATATATATATATATAGGGCTAGGTTATAATGTGGATGGACAACTATTGTGCGGACGTGTAGACAATGTTATTCTATGAGAATTACTAACAGATTAGGTTGTTTAGTCTTGTGAATACGCTCAACCTTACACAACCATCGTCATTTTCATGTATTCTCACTAATTCTTATTCATTTTTGTTCTCACGCATCGTTTTTCACTCATTTTCATTTTGCAGAATACGACTCAATAAACATTCTCACAGAATGAGAATAAAAAAAAATCTATAATAACCTTATAGACGATTTAATTAATGAAAATGCATGATAATGACAATAATTATGTAAGATTGAACATGTTCACATTATCAAACCACATATTTTCTTTGTCATTCTCATAGAATAGCATTGTCCACACGTCTGCACAATAGTTGTCAATCCACATTTGAACCTACATCTTTCTCTCTCTCTCTCTCTCTCTCTCTCTCTCTCTCTCTATATATATATATATATATATATATATATATATATATATATGTGTGTGTGTGTGTGTGTGTGTGTGTGTGTAACATACACGTTTTGAAATCGTGTTTTAAGTAAATAATATTATGAAATATTTTGTGATATTGAGTATTGAGTTCTAACAGATAGTTTTTACTAGAACTAAGGTAAAACTATGTTTAGAATCACTCGGAAAATATTGGAAGTCTTATGAGATTCCAATTAAAAGTTAAAATATCGAAATTTAACGAAAATATAAAATTTGAAATAAGTAAAATTTTATTATTGAAAGTTGTAGATAATCTCGTTAGAAACATTTAGGCAAAATCCTCATCGAAATCCGAGTTATAACGAAGAAGTTATGACCAATCGAAGATCCGCGACAAAACCGACACGGTGCCGAATGACGTAAAAAGTGAGTTTTTGATAAACTACTTTTTAGCCTTAGTGATCTAAATGAAAGTCGTAGTATTCGTTAAACCGAGAATTTTGATAAAAAGAACGCCAAAATCTGACTTCGTATGAGGAAGTTATGATTTTTCTAAGTTTCAGCTTAGCAGTAGACATCTAAAAACTCGAATTTTAGATCGAGTGATTTTTAGTCGACA